CAGACTGAAGATGTTGTTATTGTATCACAAATGGCAGACTGAAGATGTTGTTATCGTATCGCAGATCGCAGGCTGAAGATGTTGTTATTGTATTGCAGATGGCAGACTGAAGATGTTGTTATTGTATCGCAGATCGCAGACTGAAGATGTTGTTATTGTATCGCAGATCGCAGACTGAAGATGTTGTTATTGTATCGCAGATCCAGATTTTTTTTCAACTCCAATCAAACAAAAAATATTTTGAACCGAAATTAACTGTTTTTTTTTATGGAAAAATGGAAATTTACACCTAAACCTTTCTGAAGGTTTATAGATAAAATTTTGCATTTCTCTTTCATTTAAGATATATAGAAAAAATGTTTTTAAAATTGGTCGATAAACACTTCCTGTCCTCTAATAAATTTGATAAATTTTTTATTTGAAATACAATTAACGATAGCTACAGTTGCACAAAAAATCTGGAAAGAATTATAAAAGGTCACAATAATGCTTTGCTAAACAAAAATTAAATCCTAAATGAAAAAACAACAGAAAATTGTAATTGTAAACAAAAAACAATTGACCAATGAGCGACAATTTATTGAATTAACAGAGGGTAAATGGAAAAACCGTTTTGCCAACAGTAACCAATCCTTTAAAAGTAAAAAGTATTTAAAAGACACCATGCTGTCAAAATACATATGTGAATTGAATTATATTGAATGATATTGAATTGATTTGTCCTTAAAACAGCACCTGCATATAATAATATTTCCAAAAAATGTATATTATGCCTACAAGAAAAATTTGAAATAATTGCACATACAAATCAAGAATGTTTGTTGAACAAAAAATAATAATTGATTTTTTTGTTTAACAAACTAAATGCAAGCATGAAAATTAGTTTCTCTTCAAAAATTATAAAAATAAGTGAGCTCAAAAAATAATTATGAATTATAAATAATTATAAATCCCTCTCTAAAACAAAAAAAAAACATAGGTTTTTTAATATATATTACTATTAAAAAAATACTTTTTTTTAAAAAAAAGCAGAAGTTAACAGTTCTAAAGAATTCTTTTTGTAATAGTGTCAGCATATTCCACAAATGTGTGAAAATTTAATGTAACTAAGACATTTATAACTTTTAATGTAATTTAATTTTTTGTATAAATTGAAGTTTTATTATTTTGAACATTTATTTCTGATGAGTCTTATTGATGAAACACAGTGCCCTTTATATATATATATATATATATATATATATATATATATATATATATATATATATATATATATATATATATATATATATATATATATATATATATATATATATATATATATATATATATATATATATATAAAGGGCACGTCCTTCCTCCCCGTTGTCAACAGCCATGTGTAATAAAGATATTTTTTGGTTGATAATTTTGTAAATTGCTTGTTATTTCAATTAGTAATGTATTTGCCTTACCTCTTCCCTCACCCTTACCTAACCCCCGGGTCCCTCCACATTTTTTTACTAATTAAAAATTGATTCAAGTTTTTACCCTAAAAATTTACCAATTTTTAAGTTACTCACTCCAATTATGATAAAAACTAGGTTTTCTATTTACCTTACAAAAAAGCCTATAAAAGAAAAAAAGTTTGCTAATCACTTTTAATTTTCTTGAAATTAATAATGTTATTTAAACCTGTTTCCATATTCCTTTTTGTCATCTTGCTGGAACTTTTTTCCATGGCATAACAAACTTTGTCTATGGTTACCAGTCTCATTTGTTTTTCTTCTTCACTAATATATCTATGTATAAATCCTGCATCATGCCTACATTTCTTTCTGCATGATCATTTACTATAATAAAAGATTTTCTGGTCCTACCTTTTCTCCATGAGTAACATGTTTCTGAAAATGACTTATTCTAAGCTCTGTAACATGATGCCTGCAAGCAAGATGGAGAATGTATTTACCTAAATCATAGGTAATTCTATTAACAGTCCCTTTTGTAATGCCAGTATTTGCTGCTATTGTGTCATAGCACAATCCACTAATATTTGATTTAACACCATATTCATCTAGGAACTGCATTATTCCTTTATATTGATTGTCTCCTGAAGAGGTAAAGAAGGCACACCCAACAAGTGTAGCTTGCCAGTAATATTTATTAGTACAGCTAGTAGCTTGCATTTTTGTTTTTTTCCTTTAATTATCTCAAATATAGTTTTCCATCAAAATTATACATGGGAATGTAGATAAGCATACTTTTGTTTTAATATCTTCTTCAGCAATATTTGAAATTTCTTTATTTTCTCTTTTCATTCTTCTAGCTGCAGTTGAGACTTGATTTGATGCGTTTGTGTCTACTCCTGCAGCTTGAACAACTGCCGTTGTAATTCTCTGCAGAACCATAGGAGAGATGTTATTAATAGTTACCATTAAAGCAACATTTCTGGAATAAATATTTTTAGGAATGTTGGCCTGAATTTTTGTATTGCTTCGTTTATTTTTTTTTTTATCCATTTGCCTGGCTCGAAGTTAGAATCAGAAAAGTTATCTGAACTTAGTTTATCATTACTGCTAATGTCTTCTTCGTAAAATTTTAAGATTTTACTTGGGGATCCATTTTTCATTACATTTTTGCACTTTTTAATATTATATAATGATTTTACCTTACATAAAAATAAATTTATTAGTTTTAAGTTGTTAGTGAAAGAAATATAAAGTTAGAGCATATTTATAAATTAAGTAAAACTAAATGTGTGGATGAGAATCAACATAGTGCAAGCCCAAAAACAAAACAAAGTTAGTTAAATCAATATTTTATATACTAATGCTTCACTCCATATAGTAAAGTAACTTTATCTACCTTGAGAGCATCATTTAATTAAGATCTGGCACAAAACTGCATAAACATTTAAAAAAAAAACATTACACTATGCAAATTCTCACAACCAAAACATAATCAAATTACTTTCATAGTATATTTAGTGTCTAGAGGACCCATATGATATAATCTTGGACCTTCTTGATCTTCTTAGAATTTTAAATCTTTGATTTTAGATTCATTGGATCTTAGCTTGTCACTTTGAATAATATCTTTTAGTTCTGAAATTTCTACCCAAAAAATACGTTTAACAAAATTTTTAAATTATATTTAATTTTTAATATCTTGTTTTGAGTTCCTTTTGACATTCTTCAATAAACTAGAATATTTTTGCTCAATTTTTTTTAAACTTTTTCTAATATTTGCGTTGCTAATAACTGGAAACCCAGCTTTAATCTATGGATGTTTTATTTTCGCCATGATATATTCACATTCAACTAGGTGACATCTATCAACCTTTAGGTTTGACTTAGAAGGACAATATAGAATATCCAACTTTTTTAGTAATTCTATTTGGCAAATTTGATTGACAATATTTAAAGTGTTGCAAGATATCCATAAGAAGTTGTGTTCCTAAATCATAAAGGTTTTTATTAAAATAGTATTATTAATATTATATAAATAGTATAAATAAGCGTGCATTATTTATCTTACAGAGTATAATAGTGTGAGGGATTGGTGTCGATATTGAGATGAAAATATGTTTTAGTGACTGTAACATCTTTTTAGGTAAACACAAAATATCATAAAACTGAATCGATAACTGTACATTTTTTTTATTTCTATGCATTCACACATACCTGAAATAGCAGGCGTAGCTTCATCGATAATATGAAAAATCTTTTTAGAAGATCTCAAACTGTTTCTGATAACTCATATTAATACTTGTTGAGTTACTTAAATTTTTATTTTGAATTTTAAAATTCAAAGCCAAATATGTAATTTTTGAATTTTAAATCAATGTAGTATTCATATTATGTAGTATTCATATTAATATTTTGTAGCTTCATATTAATTGTTTTTTATTTAAAAATAAATTCATACGAAACTTTAGTAAAAGAACATAATATGTAATGGTTTGCTATTTATTTTATTTTGGGAAATGGCAGGCGAAGGGGGATGGAAGACTGTCAAAGAAACTTACCTTCAAATACGTAACTAGTTAAAGTAGCAAGCATTGTACAATATTTTTAACCAAAAAACATTTTTATTATGTAAGAAAAATGTATTTGTATACTCCAAATGCTTTCTTAATATCACAACAAAAGTCATAAATTTTGCAAATTTATTGATAATTTGAATAGTAAATGCTCGGTAATAAAACAAAATTAAATAAATGGATGATTTTAATTGCAAAATATATGTAGTGTAGGCCCTTTTTTTTAATTTAGCCAAATTTGTTTATATTAGACCCTCCCTTACCGTCACAGAAATCAGCAATTTTCGACAAAAAGTTGTCATTTTTTCCAGAAAAATGAGCCTTGAGGGAGGATCTAGAGTGGTCAGAAAATGCCTGGTATGCTTTAAAACCTCCTTTCTATTATTTACATCAAATTTAACGAGATATATATTTTTGTTTTGAATATTCTCTCATTCTGAGGCACCCTAATATATATATATATATATATATATATATATATATATATATATATATATATATATATATATATATATATATATATATATATATACATATATACATATATACATATATACATATATACATATATACATATATACATATATACATATATACATATATACATATATATATATATATATATATATATATATATATATATATATATATATATATATATATATATATATATATGTACATATATACATATATACATATATACATATATACATATATACATATATACATACACATATATATATATATATATATATATATATATATATATATATATATATATATATATATATATATATATATATATATGTATATGTATATATATATATATATATATATATATATATATATATATATATATATATATATATATATATATATATATATATATATATATATATATATATATTTATAGAGAGATAGCATTAATAACATATATATATTTGATTCAAAATTTTATCTGTTTAATTTTTGTATACAGGGCCCAAACAAAGATAATAGAAAACAGTCCTCCTTATCGTCTATTATCTCAGCTGTCTATAACAATTCTTGGAGCAGGAGATATTGGTAGAGATATAGCAAAACATTGCAAAAGGTTTGGCATGACTGTTTATGGTATGGTATCTTATCAAAGAGAAAACGAAAATGAAAACATAGATGAACTTTTTACTCCTTCTTCACTGGCTATCTACTTAGAAAAGTCTGATTATGTTGTTAATACTTTACCTAAGACACCTCACACAACTGGAATTCTCTCAAATTCAATTTTAAAACATTGTGCTAAGCGTCAATCAGTATTTATCAATGTTGGTCGAGGCAATGTTTTGACTGATGCAGATGTTATTGAAGCAATAGAAAATAAATGGATTCAAAGTGCTGTGCTTGATGTTTTTGAAAAAGAGCCATTGTTGTCTGATAGTAAACTTTGGAGTTTGCCAAATGTCACGGTTACTCCTCATGTTTCTGGTTTGCCATATACAAGCATTGTAATACATTTTCTATTAATTTATATAAAATAGTATATATTACTTTATAATATTTTATATTGTTTGTTATATGTATATTTTTTATATATTGTTAAGTATATTTATTTATATACTTTTGACACAGATATAACAATTATATTTGTTCATTTAGATCGTAGAGGCATTCCTAGAAAATTTGAAGCTTTATGAAGAAGGCAAACCCCTCAATTATTTGGTTGATTGGGTCAAGGGTTATTAAAATCTTTCTTATTTTACTTAGTTTTGTAGATATTTTTATTATTAGATTGTAAGAAATTATGTTTTTAAACAAATTTTTTTATGTTTTTAATATACTTAGAAAATTTATAGAAAGATTGTACAAACATTTAAAGAAACTTAGAAAAGTTTTTATACTTGTTTTTTTATATTTGTTTATTAAGATGTTTTTGAAAAGTCACTTAAAAAAAAATGAGTTTTTTTTCTTTTTATTACTTTTTAGTTTTTTGATCTTTTTTTTTCTCTTTTTTTTTTGCTTTTCTGTTGCATTTTATTACATAATTTTATTATTAATTAAAATAAGTAAGCAGCCTTGCAGTTAGAAAAAATGGGAGCTGGGAGCAAATTGGTTACTTTAAACTATTTTTGGCCGGCATAAAATTTTAAACACAAGGGTTTCATTTAAACAACATAGAAACCAGGTTGACAAAAATTTGGTGACCTCAGACATTTTTAAGTCAGCATTGCTGAATGCCGAACCTTATTTAGAGGGCTTGTAATAGTAATATATATTAAACCCAATATAAAGGGGTTTTAATTAAATAATGAAATAGGAAATAACTTAAAAATAAAAAAAACCTATGTTTTTTTTTTGTTTTAATGAAACAAGTCAAAAATATTGAAATAACGATTCTATTTCCTGCTTTGAACTTGATCAATGTCTTGTAAATTAATAAGATGCTGTAATATTGTAATTTAATAAGATGCTAATAATAATGATTTAAAATGTTTCTTCAATATTTTATTAACTATATGATTGTTATTTACAATAAGTTGCTATTTATACAATAAATGTTTGAATAAATAAAGCAAGTTTGTAAACATTATTCTATATTAGGAAAAACCTATTTATTAATAATATATATATATATATATATATATATATATATATATATATATATATATATATATATATATATATATATATATATATATATATATATATATATATATACATTTTCTTTCTTCATAAACTTATCTAATTTGTATAATACAATAGTTACTTATATTATTAAATAATTTGTAATATTTTGATATTTAAAATCCATATAAGTACATAAATGTATACATACATACATACATACATACATACATACATACATACATACATACATACATACATACATACATACATACATACATACATACATACATACATACATACATACATACATACATACATACATACATACATACATACATACATACATACATACATGCATGCATGCATACATACATACATACATATATGTGTTTTATAAATAACATGTCATTCATTTACTTTATTTTAAATATTTTATTTTAAATATTTTACTTAATTTCAATTTTTTGAAATTTCAATTTTTCAAATCTTTTTGAAGTATGAAATAATCTTTTAGTTGAGGTGAAGCAACCTGTAGCAGTATTGACAAATTTATTTCTCTCAATTTGTTTTATTGCAATAAATTAGTTTGGTGTTTTGTCATCTGTCTTTCGTAAATTGATATTGTAAAAAGTAATAATTGAATGCAATTAGTTTTTTGACCTTTTAAATATTGAGTGTATTAAATACAGTTCTGAAGAAACTTTCTAATAGTTGAAATAGCATCCTAGCCAGTTGAAAAAAGTTGCACAGTAACCCAAAAGTAGAGATTAAAAATAGTTTACATATGAGCTAAATAGTTTACATATACAGCTTAAGCTGTTGTAAAATATTTGATGGCATTAAGTTAATGTTCAGTTTACAAAACTTCTTCTGTTGTTAAACAGCAATATCATAGTCACTCATATGCCTTAAACTGTGAACAAGGCCTCATTTCTTTTATCCTGATTTTTTTTTCTTTGAAATGTGGCAAATGTATTTATATATAGTATATTTACATTAATTAAATAAATATATATATATATATATATATATATATATATATATATATATATATATATATATATATATATATATATATATATATATATATTATTTTACTTATCACTTTTTAAGAATGGAAAAATCAATTGCTGTTCTTGCTCACCCAATTTATAAAATTTTTGAAACAGTTAAAGAATGTCTTCCAAATTATAAAGTTCATCAAATATATCACAAAGGTTTCGGCAATAGTACTGCAATTCCTGTAGACAATATTAGCTCTGATGGTATTATTTTACTGTTGATTTTGTAATGTTATTTAAATAATTGTTATCTTTTATGTTTGTTATCAATTTTTAACTAAATGTTACCTTAGAGATTAAGTTATATGCTACTGTGGAGATAATGCCACTGTGGAGATTAATCAAATGTCAAAGTGTTTTTTTCAACTAAACAACAACAGCTAAATTTGATGTACTTTAAAAATGTATTGGAACCCTGATCATTTGAGACTGGAAATTCCCAGAACAAATTAAGTAAACAGAATAAGAGAGTTTAGGATCAATTTATTTTGTTTAATAAAATAAAACAGTTTGTACAACGTTTTTCTAAACTTGATTTCTTGTGTGTTTATCCGTTAGAATCTTTGAAGCTATATTTAACTTATTTCCCAACTAGCTAGAGCTCTGAAACTTTCAGGATAGCTCATAACCCAATGACAATGCAATTTAAAACTATTTTCTAGCTTCGGCAGTCAATATTTTTCTCAAAATGAAAAACGTTGAGCGCAAGTGGTGATTTGATAATATTATGACATTATGCAGTATAACATTTGATTTAATTCTTCATTTGCGTAGTATTTAATTCTTCATTTGCGATGTATTTAAGTGTATCTATTATAATTTAAATATAGTGGGCGATTTTAATGATCAGTGTAGATATATTACACTGATATATGAATTATGAAACTATTAAGTGTTGATCGATCACCAATCTTTTATATTATAACGTTTTACATGTATCAAATTTGTTATAAAATTTGTCATCATTATAAGAGGAATATAATCAGACATTCTGACAAGCTCAAAGAAAAATTATTTTCTATTTTTTAGTTCGCTTGAAAAATGTTGTTTTTAGAAAATTTCATTTTTTATTTTAGATTATTTTTTATTTTTTAGATTTGTTTGGCTATTTTTTCTGCATATAAAATTTTATTTTGTTGAATTTGAGAGAAATATTGACAGCAGAAGCTTGAAAATAGTTTGAAATTGCATTGTCATTGGGTTCTGAGCTATCCTGAAAGTTTCAGAGCTCTAGCTAGTCAGGAAATGGGGTCAGATATTCTACAAGCTCAAAGAAAAATTGTTTTCTACTTTTTAGTTCACTTAAAAAATGTTGTTTTTAGAAAAACTCATTTTTTATTGTATTATAATATAGCTAAGTTTTAACATTTGTAACTATTTTTGCAATTTTTTTTTTATCTCAAACAAATAATCCAACAATAAGTTTTTTACTTTTATTTTATTTAAGGAAGGGCATGTAAAGGCATGTAAAGAAGTTTAACTACCACATTGCTGGCATACCAATATTAATTTGCTCTTTAGCAAAGAATTTGATCAGTTTCCTCAGTTTTTTTCTTTTAACCCCAAGTTTTTTTTTTGAACCCTTTAAGTTTTTTTTTTCAACCCTATAAGTTTTTATAGACTTATAGGGAAAGAAAAAAATTATTAATAAATGGCCTACTTATTTGTAGCAGCAAATTCATTTACTTTTAAGTTTATATGTTTTTTTATTTTTATAGAATTTTTGACATTGATAATATCCCCTCAGGGATTCAAGCCTGCCATATTAACTAAATTCTGAGTTGAAACACAACACATTTCATTGAACACAATGAAATTCAGCACTATTTAATTGTTAATTACGTGAAAACTACTTAACAGATTTTTTTAATTTTATGACACAATGAAGCTAATTGAATTGTTTATTTATTTTAATTATTTTTATTAAATTTTTATCGGACACTTTGATAGAAACCGAATATCTTTGCAAGTACTTGACATCATCTGCTGGATCTTTGTTTTGAGTTACTTTTTTTTAAGGTGGTTATCTATTTTTTCTTAAAATCTTTTTTATTTGTAACTAATTTCTTGCTTTTTAATAAGATTCCTTTTTTAATTGATAAATAACTTTCAATGGCTCGCTGTTCAGGACAAACCAGAGGATTTGCTTTCTTAGATACAAATTCAACACCATTTTGTTCATACCATTCTAGATACTTCTTGGAGTAGTGAATTGTACCCAAATCAGGCCAAAATTCTGTGGGCATTTTATGCTTTTAAATAAATGGCAAAAGGCGTTTCTTTAAGTATTTTTTAATATATAAATCTGCGTTCAAAGTTTTATGAGTAATGTATGGTGTATTTTTTAAACCACAGAAGCATATTGATTGCCATATAAGGAACTTGAGAGCAAATTTTTCTGTTTGAATGTACCTGAATTTTTTGGCAACATATCTACCTTAACTGATAAAAATATTATTGTCCTGTCAATCATGAAAAGTTCTTTTTGCAATAGGCTTCTTTGTCTTTAATTATAGACAAGTTCATAAGTGTATATAGCTTTTTTGAACAACGAATTGCTTTAATTTCTCCATCAATGAACTGCTTTAGAGTTTTCTTATTATATTCTTTATTATATGCTTTATATTCTTGAGATCTAAGTACTTTTCCTATCAAAGCTTGGTTGCATTTAAATTTTCTCGCAAGATCTCTCTGCGACTGACATGGATTTGCCTTTATGGAGTGAATAATTGATTTTGCTTTATATCATCTTTTCCAGCTTCACTTTCAATAGATTGAGTCTGTTTATATCACCACAAAATCCAACTGATGATCGAGAAATCCAACTGATGATCAAGAAATCCAACTGATGATCGAGAAATCCAACTGATGATCGAGAAATCCAACTGATGATAGAGAAATCCAACTGATGATCGAGAAACTCCAGTTAATATTGAAATGTCAACTTATGACAAGGAAGGACTTTGAAGGAAAATTTAAAAAATTTTTTTTGATTAAATATTTGTTTACTCATTTTAATCGGGTAGCAACAACCAATACTTATTACAATTTTTTTTTTTTTTTTTTTATTTTAATTCACCTCCTCAAGGCCGAGAAGGCCACTGCAGATGAGGAGGCTACTTATTTTGTGGCTATCACCCTCTCTCAACTTTATAACTCCGAAACACGAACCTTGACGAACAAGGCCGCTGCGCGGAGAAACGAGTTGAGCGCGGTACTACCAGGGACGTGGTGTGGATCGAACCTGGAACCACTCGTTTATGAAGCGAGCGCTCTACCACTACACCACTACAAACAACAATATGTTAGCTTCTGTGTGCAAAAAAATTAAAAAGATTTCTCAAGTAGTTTTTGAGTAATTAAAAATTAAAAGGTGCTGAATTTTATTGTGTTCAATGGATAAGTAATACAACTTAAGTAACTTTTATCTTTCAAATGTCTTTGCTGCAGAGCCTTGAATAATGTGGTTAAGGTTAATCTTGAATTATAATATAATCTGTTCTGTTAAAGGTTTTGTTTTTTTGTGTTCATAAACTCAATTGAAGATAAATAAAATATTTTTGTGTAATACATTAGCACTTATATGTATCACTAATGATTATGTGTTATATCAGGAATAAGATAATTTTACTGATTGAACTTAGTTTTTTATAAATAGTAAATAAATTAATAAATTGTAAATTTTAATAATAATAAACAAAAATGTAAATTTTAATAATAGTAAAGTGAAGTCACTTTACTATTTATCCCACTTTTAAAGATAAGAATACAAATTAGAACAACAAGTTGCATTCAATATAAATTTATTATATACATATAATACAATACAACTTCAACATTGAGGCTTTAAAAAAGTTATAAAAGTAATGTATTATTGAGTGCAGTGTTTATAAAAAAAAAATTATTTCCTTGAGCTGCTAGCAAATTACATTTTATATAATAAACTTTGGTTTATTATTTAAACTGTTATTTGCTGTTATTTGCTTAGCCCACTTTTTTTTAAATGTAAAAATATTTTTAAATCTTTTGTAAAAAATAATTTTTTTTTCAATATTTTTAGAAATTAAAAAAAAAAAAAAAAAAAATTAAAAATTTTCTATTCTTCATAATAATTAATCAGCAATCCTTGTGAAATATTTGAAGTCTAATTTCAAATTACTTTTTTTCAACCTAATAGTTCCTCAATAAAAGCAATAAAAAAAAAAAACTAGCAAAAAAGAGTTTTAATAGAAACTTCTTTTTTTTTTTTAGTGCAAACTAATATTTTCTTTGTAAAGTTAAAAGAAAGCAGTGTTCCAAAAGTTACGTTGTTGTCCTACAAATTATGTTAATCTCAAAGTACTGCAGTGAAAAATGAATGGTCAATTAGGAAGTTTGAATCGCGTAAATATGTACTCAAAATATACTTGGTATATTTTGAGTACATGTTTATTTAGCATAATTAGGAATGTTATTATTTTTTAATAATATACCAAATTTTCTTATAATGTTTTTTATTTTACTAATTAGAATATGATGCATTATTAAAAGAAGTTGAACAGTTTGATATTTTGATAGTTGATCATTATGATATACTTCCAATCATAAATGACATAAAAAGTGTTAAATGGATGCAAGGAATATGGAGTGGTATGTTTTTTTAATTGCTTTAATGTAGAACTAGCCAATATAATTGACAAAAAAATATGTGATTTTCAAATAAAATTTAAAAAATAATTTTTAAATGTATTCAGAGTGCTTAAGTTTCTCCTCAGAGAGAAGAGAATATTTTGCATTTTGTGAATGAATCTTTGTGAATGTATAAATACCATAAATGTTTTGAGAACCTCATGTGAAAACACATGATAATAAATGAATTGAATTTTATTTCTCAGTGAAAATGTAAATTTCAATGAGTTTTATGTGTCCTGCTGCCTTGTAGGATATGTTTTTTTAGGCAAAGGCTAGGAGAAGCCAATTCTGACTTGATACACCTTCTGCCTAGGGCTCTTGGTTGAGTAAAGGCTAGCAACAAAATCTTGATAAAAATGCTCGTCTTGGGCCGACGTTAAATGCATCTATGTACTGTCTTGTAAAAGGACTATTAGGCAAAGATTTAAGAGGTAAACAGATTCTATCTGTTGGTAAGCTTTGCACCCCTTCTTTTATCTATTAGGAAGGCAAGATGTATTTATAATATATTATTTCCAGTTTAGTATGTGGAATGCTGATCTTCTTGACTTAATGCATGGATTTTGCTTGTGTCTTTGTTTTAATGATTAGACAACTCTTGTTAATTTGGTCTCTCTAAAGCTATTATCTAATTCTTCTTCATCATCAGAATCCCTTTAATCAAACCTTTTACAACTACCTTATAGCTGATTGGGATTTTTTTTTGTGGTGACGCTTTTTTTATTATTTTTTTTAATGTTAATTTGTTCGCTAGCAACACGTGAAAACGTGTTGCTAGCAAACTTTTTATGTCACTTTTTATGTCAAAATAATAGACAAATTGAATTCAGGGGTGGTGTTATTTTTAATTCTAATAATCATCAATTTCTACATCTATATTAAAGTTTTCATTAAATCGATCAATATCGTTGTCATCATCTGATGTGTCATCATCGTTTTTGTCATTGCTTGTATTAAAGTCTACTTCTTCTAGTACTAAAAGGTTGTTAACTTCTTTTGGAAGAATATAAGTTTTATTTTTAGATCTTGTACTTAAAGATAATGTACTTATAATTGGATGAGTTCATTGCATGTGTAAATACATCAAATAAATTATCTTCTCTTGAGCACTTGCGAGCATGTTGTAGCTGATCTTTTTTAGTGATTTTGTTGCGACACTTTAGTGCTTCTTTGCCCAAAGCCCCTACAGGAACAGGAGAATTTAAAATAATTTAAAACCTTATTATGCTTTGTAAAAAGCATCAGTGATTGGAGCCTGGGAACAAAAATGTTCCTAAAAGACCCCGTGTTTACCCAGAGCGCGAGGGCAATAAGATATACTATATTATAGGTTTTAAATTTCATCTAAAAATTGTTTTGCGTTCGAATATTTTGACCATTTAAAATTTACAACCCCCTCAATGCATCGAGGGGTTGTAAATTTTAAATGGTCATAACTATCGAACGCTTAAAGATTATTAGATAAAATTTAAAACCTGTCAATGATTTTAAATTTGGTGTAAGATTGTCAACATAAATATTTTATTAACTCAATGCCCTGGCGTTTGAGCCAGGGGTAGTAAATTTTTTGATGTATTTTGTCCGCCGGCTCTAATTAAAATATTTTTTTTTTTAAATATTATATTTTGAACTTAGTTTAAAAATCTGCTACTGATAACAGTCGTTGGAAAAATGACATTTTACAAGGACTTTGCATCACTAAATATCAATTATTTCAAAAAAGGGCAAAAAAGGGCGGCTAAATTTTTCACAAATATTTTTCAGAGCATGTATTGCATTATTAAATGATGAGACCACATTGTAAAGAATTGTAATTTAGTTTTCCTGCTCCACCAAAGTTTATTTTTTTATATTTTTTGATATTTTGGCCTTACTTGCACAACTGCATTTGAATTTTTCTTAAAATACTTCAACGATCAAAAGCTAGTCTCAAGGACTTTTCCATCGATGTATATATGTCTGGAAAAATATTAAAGTATTTCCATATAAATTGGACGAAACATCACCCATAAAAGTTCTCTTGAAGCACACTTTTGTCCAAATAGTTTGACTTTGAACATAAATAGCTTTTCAATTTACCACTTGAAAATCCAAAAAAATTAATTAATTTTTTAAATTTTGGCCACCCTTCTTCCCACTGTTTGCTGTACTCTATCTAACTTTAGAAAAAAATTTTCAATTTATAGATATTTATGAGGAAAAATCCAACATTATAAAAATCCAGGGGTGCATGTTTTTTTTTTTTTTTTTTAATTATTCATCTCCCCAAGGCCTGAGGGGGCCATTACAGTCGAGGAGGCTACTCTTTTTTTTTTTTTTTTTTTGTTGTAAATCGTGGTACAACTCTCTCTCAATTCTTTAACTTCGAAACACGAACCTTGACAAGCAAGGCCGCTGCGCGGAGAAATTAGGTTGAGCGCTGTACTTCCAGGGACGTGGTGGGAGTCGAACTCCGAACCTGTCGCTTACAAAGCGAGCACTCTTACCACTACACCACTACCGCTTTGTTTAGACCTAGGGTAATGAAAACCCTGTTAAAAATATTGATAATAAGAGGGGCCCTGGCCCTCCACTTGCCAATTTTTAAATATAAGATATAAGTCTAGCATAAAATATACAAATTTTTGTTTATATCTCCCCTCCCCCTATCTTCACAAAAATACGGAATACATACAGAATACTATAACAGCGCTTACTCAACTTTAACTTAAACAACACTCACACGACTCTAACTTAATAATACTCCTCTTAAATACCATTCTTCAACACTGTCCAAATATTATACATTATCTAGCACTCTCTTGCACTTATATAAAATATTTCCTCCTTCTCTTAAGATATTGACGCTTGATGTTTCCAACAAGTGGTGGAACTTTAATAGCTTCCACTTTGAAACAAGAAAAATTCCACTACAAAATTATACAAATGTGCCAACTGTAAATAATAATACCAACTCAAAGTGATAAATATTCAAATTTTCAAACTGACATGCAAAAATAACAGCAACAGGAGAAAGGAGTGGGGGGGGGGGGGGAGGGTGTAAACATAAAATTTAAATATATTTATATATTTTATGCTAGATTTATATTTTATGATAAAAATTTGGCAAGTTGCCAAGGCTCCTCGGCCCTCTTGTTATCAATATTTTTAATAAAGTTTTGAGCCCCCCAGTTCAGTCTTAAAATGCACTCTTAGATTTTTAAAATGGTTAATTTTTCATTTATTAATAAATATCTATATGATGGCGCTATTTTTTTAAGTCGGTTAAATTGCAACCAAAGGATCTATTTATGACACAGTGTTTTCGCTTGATAACTTTCCATCCCTACCTAAGACCTCCTTATTATTGAAAAGATTGGAGCTAAAATATATTATGAATTATTGGGGGGTATGTATAAGGTTGTTTCAAATCATGACACACTACTTTTTCTACAAGCCATTTCCCATTTTATTTAACTCCCAGTACAATTTAAGTTGATACATAAAATGTTTGACACTAAAACGGTATTAAATATAAAATATAGAGTGGGGTAAAACGTAATCTTCCAATAAAAACGATATCAATTATAAATTATAAGGTGTGGCGTTAATAACAAATTGTACACTCAGTTTCGACTATTACTGATCTCTTAAGACTATTACAGCCTTATGGTTCCATATAAGTGGTGGAACTTTAATAGTTTCCACTGGGAAAGAATAGAAAAAAAAAAGAAAAAATAGTCCGTGGTTATTGTTTCGTTACCTGATACCGAAGTTAAATGGCTATTATTTTAACATACACGCAAAGTACTTGAACGCAGGGTTCTCAATGCACCAACTGATGTATTTTATTGGCCAAATCATATTTGAATTGCAATAATTTAACTACATAAGTCATTTTTTACAACAAATTAATTAGGGATAAGGGGAGCGGGTGTGCATGTATTGACTAAATAGACACAGCGTAGAGTATGTACATAGACTTATGGCTTTGGTTTATGTCTGTCTGTCCCCAAACCTTTGATAGCAAAAAACTAACTTTGTAAAACCATTGTGAGTGGGATATGATTTAAAAATGTGTGATAATCTAGATTAGTAACTTTGTACTTGTATTGACACATTTGGTGAGCCATAGACTAGGCCGGATTAAGGTTCTTGGGGGCCGGATGCTGAAAAATATTGACGGCCCCATTCCTAAAAAAATGAAGAAAAAGCATATATATGCAATATGTATAGAATTTTTATAGAAATTAATATACACTTTGAAATTGGGGGCCCTGCTGGTCCACCAATTTTTATAGGCCGGATGTCTCTTAGGAGCGCTAGTTATTCAGACATTGCCTATAGACAAAAACTCCTTCATTGAATTTCTATGTTAATTTTTTTACCGTATATGTAAACTGTACGTAATTTTTTTTGCGTATATGTAAACTGATAAAATATATAAGAAATTTTAATTATTTATTCATTTTATTCATATAATTACTTAATTCATAAATATAATGTAAGTAATAAATCATCAAGACGGTCTGCAAATATTTTACAAGTAAAAGAAAATTGGTATAGTAAAGTGTATAGTAACTTTTAGTATACCAAGTATACAGTAAAGTATACGGTAAACTTACTATACCATATACTGTAACCAGCGATCCCATATGTGGGAAAAAAAATAGATAAAAGTTGCATTTCTTTAAGCAGATGTTATTACACATCTGATTTTTTTCGGATGTAACTACATCCGGAATATATTTTTCTAAAAAATACAATATTTTAACCAGATGTAGTTACGCATCTGATTTTTTTCGGATGTAACAACATCCGGGAAAAAAGTAATTTAAAAATGCATTATTTTAACCAGATGTAATTACACATCTGATTTTTTTCGGATGTAACTACGTCCGGAAATTTATTTTATTTTATTTTTTATTTTCAATAATGCAT